TCGTACTGATAGTAACCCGATAAATTCGTCGATACTACAGTAATATTTTATTTTATGAAAGAGAGGAATTGCGTATATATCGCGCTTCCACAAGTTGTTCCAACATTGACACGTTTGAATATTTATCGATGTAAAACAAAGCTTTTATTAGTCATAACACCTTTTTCATCTACTATTAAATGAATCGCATCTTATTTCCTTGTCATTATTATTATGTTCATTAGAAAACGGTTGTTCGATAATTTACAATTCAGTGTCGATCATTAGTCAATGTCTGAAGAATAAAGGAAATTTTCATACAGTCTTTATCACAAACGTTTAACGAGAAATAATTATTATAACAATTATCTATGTTTTGTGTTTAAAATTGTTTTAAATGCTTTAATTGAATGTAATTAATGTAATTTTAATATTGCATTCCAAACAAATATTTAATATAATTTTAATATTGCCAAAAATAAATAAAACTTGAATTGTATGTAAAAATATTAAATATATTTAAAACGTATGCCATTTAAAAATATTTGTTATTTTATTCGACCAAGATATTTTTATGTTTAATTTTACATTTTATTTGTACTGTCAGTCTGTTATATTTTTCATATATTTTTATTTCTAAATACAGTAAAACAAAAATTTAACAGATAAATGTAATTAAACGAACATCCTGTTTACTAGACATCATAAAAACGTAAAATCTACAAATATAAAAACTATAAATCATTAAAAAATTAGTATTTTTAAAGTTTTTGTCAAACACTAATGTTTATTAATATTATATAACTACAAATTCTTAATTATTTTTTAACTAATAAAATTAAAATCACCCAGACAAATATTAATTAAACAACGTTCGTCGACAGTCAAAAGCAAATCTATGTTTATAATAACTTTATAATGTCGAAATTAATGATTCCAAACGGAATCATTAGATCTAAAAGGATTAAATATCGAAGAATTTAATTAGAATTTTACGCACATGGATAAACGCAACATCACTATAATGATTTATCATTTTTCAAACTGGAAAAAAAGTGCAAGGAAACTTTTCATTTTTTACGTAAAATATCCCTATTCGGATCATAATGTCGTAAGATATTTTACATTGCAATAAACGCTGCATGGCCTCGACCGTGAGATCAGGCAGCGTCTCTCTAAACCTCTAAAGGAATGTCGAGCGCGAGAAAGGTATGTCGATGTTCTCGGAGAAAGGGACAGGCAACGTCGTATGCGCCTCATAAAAGCCAGACGCGCCTAAATGCTATCCCCCTCTTTGCACCACACCCCATCTGGACAACCGTTGCGCGACCCTTCACAGCAAACGCATCTCGTATAATCCATAGAGATCCCTCACGACATTCTCGCTACTCACTGGTTGATTCAACCTCGACTTCACCACCGGCAACTACCTTCCTCCGCGTATCGCTCTTTCTTGCAGTTCTTCGTACGAAAGAGAAGGATCGGAAAATCGATATATAGACAGGCGCTCGTAAGGAATTGTAAGCCGGAAGAATCTTTCGTCTCTGCAACGCCATATGGTACCAACGGTTTACGAGCACGGATATCTTGATGTTCGTTGGCGAACGTTATTCGACATGTAAATAAAATGTGTCGTTTGTAAAGAAATTGATAATAAAAGGTAGTAAATTATACTTGTATTTGAAATTGGAGTTTTTTTATGTAAAGTCTTTTGAAAAATCACGAAAAAATGATATTACATTTAAATAACGATTAAATTACGTTTATATAACGATTTTCTAACGAGAGACATTATATTTTATAGATAATAAGATAATTCTCCATTTTTCCTTTTATCTCATTTTCTATGATTAATTTTTACTGAACCTAATAAAAAAATAAGAAAGTTATTTGATTTCTAGAATAATTTTTAATAATTACATCATAAAAAAAGTAATATTAAATTAACAGAAAACTTGCAATTGGATTATTTTAATATTTTCACGTCGTTATTATGAACGAAGAAAACAATAAATTTTAATGATCTCTCACTAATGATACCAGCATCATAAAAAATCACAGCAATTTAAATAAAAAAAAATAATAAATAAAAAATATTAAATCATCAATGTGTTGTCTATCTAATTTATCAAAATTTATTTTTGTCGTTCATTTTATTTTTCAATTAAATATAAAAGATTTAAAAAGATAAAAAATATTGTTATAAATATCAAAAAATATATTATAAATATTTTCAATTTCAATTTCAGATATTATAAATTTTATAATTTATTTATTAAAAAATCATCATTTTTTATTAAAGTCCATAAACTTTTTTTGGTGTGTAATTTACATCACAATCCAATTGTATTATGATATTACAATATTTCTGCAAATCAGAATCAAAAATTGTTACCGTTTTAATTAATATAAGGAGCAGTAATAGCTTATAAAGAATATGAATGTAATTAACAATATCTATTAGCGTAGCTATTGTTAATAATAATGCATCGTTTAGAATTTTCAACAGTACATGTGAAGATATTTCACATTTGTTCGCGATTAACTTTACGCAGTAAGCGAGAGTAAAACTATTTTTGTTGATGGCACTTTTCTCTCGGATTTTTGACGTTTTCATATTAAACACGTAAAAATTTAAGTAAAGTCGTACCATTAACCGTATGCTGTTCAAATTTCTAAATTTCTTTCTATATATATACTATATATGTATTCTATATATGTATCTAAATTTCTTTCTATATATGTAAATGATATAGATTATAGATTATTAAAAAACACTAACTAGATCAATCCATTTTATATAACGATTATCGATTTTTAAAAAGTAATCAAAGCTAATTATTAGCTTATATCATATTATATCATAGCTAGAATTATTTGATTAAATACAACTTAATAATAAGTATAAATTAAATATAATAAAATAGATAAAAGTAAAAATCAGTAATAATTATATAAAAAATTATTTAACCAACATTACATGTTCTAAATTTTAAAAATACATGATACATGACATTTATTATGTATATTAAATCAATATAAGTCAATATATCAATATATATATCAATGTATCAATATATATAATTATAATTATTATTATAATTATAATTATAATTATATTTAATATACATAAATGTATATTAAAATCAATATAAAATTTTTATTACTCTTTATATTTTTTATACATAAAAAAAGATGTTATATAAAAAAAGCAAATTATATCTCACTATTAATATAAAATATATAAAAACTATATATTTTATAATGTAATAAATATTTAACAATAAATAATCATATTAAAAAATTAAAAAATTGAATATTAATTCGATTATTAATTAATCGTGAATCTCATCGTAGCAATATTTAATGGAATATTTTAATGGAACATTTTGTATGCTAAAATAATTCCTATTGCGCTCATCAAAAATCGCGCAGCATTATTTCAAGTGAATGATATGATCAACTCGCAAAATGAGTGGGATAAGATCGGATTAGATTTAATGTCTATGCCGAGTTTGCAATCACAGATTGTTCAGCACGCACCGATAAATCGATTTGTAATTTATGACAATGGTAGGAAATACGCTACGAAAAAATTTTTTTTTTTCAACGATTCAATAATGATGAAACAAAAGCAGATATCTTCTATAAATTCGAAAAGTTCATAATGCTTTTGTGATGTAACGATGACATTGTCGTGCACTTTGGATAAAAGCCTGTATTCATCGTTCTATCGCGCTATGAGACAAATTAACGCGAACTAGTTTTCTCTTGGATAGCGTCCAACGATATTAACGTTCAAATTGCATGACTAAGAAACTCGTACATTTTTCTTATTTCGTAAATGATAAGTAGGCTTATCAATAACGTTGCGGTAATGTTAACAAATTTTAATAACGAAATTTTATATGCATTATGAAATATGAGTATCAATGAGCAGCTGTAGTACTTTTTTCAATTAAAAATTAAAAGATAATAATTGTCGTGATATGGTTATTTTAATAACTCATTTATGAGTTATCACATATCAATATATCATATTAATATGCATATTCTCACTAACATATTCTCACTATAAGATGCTTCGATCTGATGAATCAGATCGAAATACCTTATAAGTAAGTGATTTGTGTGAGAAACATAAATATAAAAATTCATAATATATCAAAGATTTTTAAGATCAAAGATATTTATATGTAGAAATGAGTTTCTCTATTGAAATACAGCTCGAATAAATGTGAAAATTTGCGATACTAATAAAATTTAAAGTAAGATTCAAAATATGTAGAAATAAAAAAATTTATATAAATATAAAAAGCACGGAAACTCACGTGACAAAGATTTGTGAAATTAAAGATATTCACGAAAATATAAGTACATTACATTGAAGCAAAGATCGCAAAAATTCGTGACAAGGAAATTCAAAATATGCATTATTATTTGTATTACATACCAAATATGTACATATAGTATAGTTAGTATCTGAGACAAAAATGGAATAAAAATTCATATAAATACCTAATTTGTTGTTGATAGTAATTTAATAAATAATAGTTACATAAATAGCTAGACTATTTTTTAAAAAAATAATTGACAGTTTAAATGAATTCTTCTTTATGTAAAATTAAAACTTTTTATTAAAGCTGTATTAATTGTTTTTAGTTCTTTGGCTACATAGTATAAAAAAAAAGAATTATCTGTTTCTATAAACAGGAAATTGACATCCGATCACAAATAGAAATCTCGGTGAGCTCTACGTATTCGAGTTCTTATGACGCAATAGCAACATGCGTGTTTGTTAACGATGTATAAGTTCGCTAGATGGAAAGGCGCGATGCGCGTATAGTGTGCTTATTAAAATATATATGTACATACATCCGTTCAGGAAATATGTGGCCTCCAGTATTTTTGGATTTAACTGATCGACAGAAATCATCGCGTCATCTTCATGTCGGTCGAGGAGATAGAAATAGAAGTATATACATTATAAAGCGTCATGCTTTCGCGCAAATCGGACTTACACATATGCTTGCCAAGGGGCCAGATTTGGGGTCCTGCATTCACTTCGAGTAAGACAGTAGGCGTGCAAATCACAAGGACGCAGAGATCGGCAACGCTCAGATTCACCAGAAAGATGTTTGTGCTGTTCCTCATGTCCTTACCCCGCAGCACGACTAACGGCACCTGAGGATATTACACCGGGAGCTACAGTGGTTCCGGACAGAGATTGGTTACATTGATAGCGATATGAAAATCGCGGCAAATGACTATGAACAATATATAACTTCTTTGACGTTCTAATAATGATTTAAAAATCTTAAAAATTACCATCAAATTTCCTATTATGCCCAAGACCATCACAATAATGCAGGCTATCATCGACGTGGTTCTGATATAGGCGGGCAGCATGTACAGCGCGGAAGTGGCGTTCTCTGGCTCGTTTACTAAAATCATGCGCGAAATACTTAAGATCTCTCTAGAGACATTTTACATGGATATTCCAAAAATTCATAATTAATGTGTCATTTTCAAAGCACTATGGTCTCTAGAAATTACCTGAGAATCCATCGAGCGCACTATTGCCAATCGCCGTTGTGTAATAGGACGAATTTAATTCACAAGCAACGGTAGACATTGTTGTTGATAAATTTTTTTTCTATTTTTTTTTATATGTATAAGCGCGAAGTTGAAATGTGATGCAACCTCCTTTACCTTCTCGTCCGTCAACCTCGTCTTTTTCCACTTTTCAGGCCAGCTGCTACCACTAAATCCCCTCGCGATCACGTACACTCGTGTACACTCAAGTAAGTTTACGCTATCACGTACTTCCACTTTCCGGTGGTTCGCCGCGCTTCCCAATTAAGTTACATATTTACAAGTCTTACATGTAAGAGCGGATCGCGCAGAGGACCGTTACGTCGATCTCCCTCTTGCGTTTTCGTAGATGGAATTTCAATTTTACGTCGGCAATACTTTTGGCCCGTATCGCCGCGACGACTCTCGTGGTCAGAATTTCGAGGGATTGCCGAGTGTCGAAATACAGCCCGAGAAAATCCATTAGGAATCGCATTAGGAGCCGTGAGGACACGATGTTTTGCGTCGCGAATCTCGCTCGTTGTTTTCACGAGTAATTTTAAGGTAATTTTCACTTTAATCGAGCCGAAAATATTAAGTGACATCATAAAGTCTCTCGTCGCGATACGTTCACCATTAATTACCTCGATGCGGGAAGAGCTCTCAAAGAGATCGCGAGAAATAGCTCCGCTTCGCGAAACATCCTGATTGGCTTCGTCACTTAAAAGGAGATTCCATTTAACGTCTCGATTGAATAGCAGATAGTAAGAATGTCAATTTGCGAAAAGCTCCGAACAAATGTTTATCTACTTTTTGACTAGGAACTTCTGGGAACTTGAATATTTTACGTCTTCATGCGTCTTCACTGCTTAAAATTGAAAATTACTTTCTTGCTTTTACATTAATTTTCTTGTTTATTAGACAAAGTTTTGTGATTTTCTTATTTAAGACTCAATTTATTTATCTGTAAATTGACCGTGCGAATGAATAAATAAATTTGCACATCTTTATTCCAAAAGCAATTTATATCCATATTTATCCATGAAAATTTAACAGAAAATAATATAAATACTGTCAATCTAGTAAATAAATCGATATTCGAGTTCGATATTTTTTCATTACCTTGACAGAAAATTTATGATATACTATGGAATTCTGCTTTCAATACTCCATGCAATTTTTTACAATAAATTTTCGATGAATTGGCAAAACGAGAGTAACGTGTCTATAGCAATGCTCAGCGTAGCAACGCTCGAGTTCTCGAAAAGAATTATTTAGTCATTGAAGAGAGTACGCTCGGAATAGTTGCCATCCAATTTCAAATGAACAGCTTCGTATGTTTTGATGTTAGCAGATGTGCCATTATCACGTAAACATTCATCAACAAAATTAAGAAAATACTCTTTCAACCATCACACGTTTTGATTGTGCATTTCATAATTCCGTAATTTCTTTAACAGAATTTTGTTTCACATTATTTAGCAAAAATTTTAGTTTCAAATTTATCGTATCAAAGTATCGATGTTCGCGGAATAATTTAAAACAACTTTGTTTGAAATTAGTAAAACAATTGTTCCAACAATTTGTCAAACGAATTAAGTTTAATGAATTGCTGATTTTATTTAGATTTTATTTACATAGATAAATGATCAAGTATTCTTGCATTTTCTTATATACGAAACTTTAAACCATGATCGTTTCGATTTTAATAAATTAACGACAATTCAATTTTTCATGGATAATCGATAATCTATATGTATTTTTGATTTTATCTCGACAGAATTTAATTTTGGTCGAGTGCGTCACTCGCCGTCATTTGGGTTTCCTGAAATTAAGTTTGATTTATTTCGATTTAATTAATCGCTTCAACGTACTTCATCTTGATTGCATCGTATTGAATGATCATTCTTAATTTTGTTACGAACAAATCCATGATTAGAAATTCCTAAACTTCAGCGCGCGATTCATGTTAAACGTCACATAATATAATGTCTTAAATATCTTTTTATTCGGATTGTCTCTCTATACCTTCGCAAATAGCTTGAAATATTTTTAATAGCATGAAAATAGCGAATAGCTTGAAATATTTTTAATAGCACATTATTTCGTGCTTTCTATACGCACTGATAATAACTAAAAAAATTTTGATCTAACCAATGTCGCAGTCACGTGATACATTCACTTTTTGTCACCTTTTGTCACCTGTCGAGTTACTGTGTCTAAGAGGAACCCGAACCGTGGCGTGCAAATAGTGCCGGTAAACTGAATGGGATACTGAACTCAACCCGCCATAAACTCTCGAACGCTCTCCCTATCATAGAGAGCATGCGCATTCTCTTTCCCTTATTATGGTATTTTTTTCATCCCGATCACACTTACTTATCTGTGTTATAAAAAAATTTTGTTCCTTCTTAAATATACATATAATTTAATTTGATTATATTTAAAACAATATTTAATTTGAAAAGAATTTATTATTTTATAATAATCATTGTATTCACGTAAATTTGCAACATTAATATATTCTTAATTGAATATGTGTTATTTCATAACAAAGCTTATATTATCATACTTTATTACGATGTATGAATTTTAATATCAACTTTATTGAATGAAAAGTTGATTTCCTATGTAATTTGTAGTCTAATTAAAACTAAAAAGTTACAATAATATCTGTTTAAATGAGAAGTTCATTCAATACATTATGTTTAATGTATCTCTTAATGTATCTCTATATTAAATCTGCCATTTATATATATATATATATATTTGATGTAATTAAATAATTAATATAATTAATTGATATAATTAATTAATTTAAATTTTCTTTCTGCTCTTGAATACTAATAAATCAAAATAATCACTAAATTCGTGTAATAATTTATTATTTTATCATAGTTGTTGACATTTGGTCATTTCGTATACTTTGTCTTTTTATGGAAAGAGAAAGGGCATTGTACTCAATTGTATCACCGATAAGAGAAAACGTGTCTTGAATTACTTATGATATATCCAGTGTATACATTACGTGACTCTGACAAACATAAAACGTGAAGATACTGACTATATGCATGATCATATTCTTGATCCATTCTTGTTCTTATCAAATCATAAATATTAGTAATATAACAATTTAATAATGGAATTATTATTAATATAATATTTAAACTGGAGATAATATTATTTTTTTGCTTTTAAAGTATTAATTTTAAATTTATTTTAGCACTTTTTAATTAAAAAATTATATTTATATTCTTTATATATATATATATATATATATATATATATATATATAATATTATGAAAAGACAATGTATTGTTTAGACATAATATTATTATTGATAAGAGAATTTATATATATCGAAATAAATTTTGTAAAAAATAGTTCTTTACTTTTTTCTTTTCTCTCTCTTATATTTCTTTCTCTCTATTTTTCATATTAACCCTTTTATGGTGTGAATTAGTGATAATTATAGTAAAGCATGAAAGAAGCGGCAATAGACAAGTCTTTATTAAGAATCAAGCGCAGTACCATTTACTTTTCTCATTGGTTCTCTCCATCTATATTATAATTCATTTGAGACATTCATATTCCTCTCTTTAACAAAAATATAATCAATGTTATTAAAGCTGATTTATTTCTTATAAATAACTTATTAATAACAAGTGGTTGATGCACATTGGTTAAAATTTTCGCAATTTTAAAATTTCTAAATTTATTTAATTTATTTAAACAAACAAGACATATAACAATATGCAAGGTGATAGCACAACAATATTGCATAAAATATTGTACATAAGATATTCCACAAATTTTTATTTAATCTCTTCCAGAGATAAATCTATTTGTCAAATTATATTTTTGTTTAATAAAAAATGAATTAGTATTTTGTATCTAACAATTACGAACAGATGTGACGATGAGATAAAAAATTGTAAAAGAAAACTTTATAACTAAAAGAACTGCAATAGTTCTGAAGTATTTTATGCAAATAATATCTCATTTATTTTATATTTCTGGTTAATTTAACGGAAATAATATATATATAGATACACACACACACGCACACACACACACGCACACACACACACACACACACACACACACACACACACACACACATATATATATATAGACTGTTTATTATACCAATTTTCGCTCTCTAATTAATATAGACTAATTATTTTTCACGAAAGTTTAAATAAAATTACAAGTAAACTGTTTTTCCTTTTTTATACATTTCGAGATAAACACTTTTAAATTAGAAACATCATGAAATTGTTATTTCCGTCGCTTTAGAATAATATCTTTATACAAAAATGATACACAAAAAATAGATCAAATAATAGATCTATAATGACAAAATACAAAAACAATAGATTTATAATCTTAGTAGTTAATAAAATTTATATTTATAATTGCGTTTTACTAAAAAATTTTAGCTAAAATTAATCTTTAAATATGATATTCAATATATGATTTTTGGAAGCCAATTGTTATTTTGACGTCATGTAATCATAATTTAGCTAAGAGAAACTAGTATAAAACTCGTTTTGCGACATAGTTTTGAGTTCTCTTTCACGGTTGAACAATCAATTCATAAGGAAGAACTGCAACAATCTTTTGCTTTTTAATATAGGTAAATTGAGCGAGTGATAAAAATGAAGTTTTTCTAAATTACATCAAAAAGTACATTTACCTCTTATAAAAACTTATAAAATGAATATATATATATATATATATATAAATTTTATGAAATTTGTAGAACTATAAAAATTTTTCATATATTATTTATACATTATTTGTGTTATATATTTCATAAATTTTTCATATGTTATCCCTCTGCCATCTTTTGTTAATATTATTTATATATTTTATAAGAGACTTTCTATTGCTAATTATTATTCAAAACATTTATTTATTTCTCAAAAAATTAGTAAATTATCGTAAGAAAATTTAGAAATTATTATAAGAAAAATATTACAAAACTTAAAAAACTACAAAATACTTATTAAAACTATAAATATAAGAAATTGTTACATGATATTATTTTCTCTCACCTTTTTTCTATTATATTAATTACTTTTATAAATCTGTTTACATAAATATATTCCATCCAGCATTTATGTATAAAATTGCACATGCAAATAATCATCATGAATAATTAGTTTGCTTGGCTGTAGTATAAGTTCATTCAATGCTTAAATTGTCTAAATCAAGCTTCCTATCGGTCATTTACATTTACAATTTAGTACATACACTAGTTTCATGTTCAATCTACTCAACTTTGCAAATCTAGCCTTTTCCAAACATACGTGTGTGTGAACTAATATTGTCGAACTTGCGCGCGATTAGCTGAGGATTTAGTGATATATACAGATCGAACATTGAATGTATAGTACATTGTCGACCTAGCAGCAATATATTATGACAGCAATATGTTATGACGTTACAATATTGACGTATAACGGATATTTCTTATTATTTCAAAACTTCGGACTAACCCATTTTCTCATTTTTCTAAAATATTCAGCTTTGATATTTTCGTATATAGTATCTATGAATCAATATCATTTTATCTCTTTTACTGTTATAGATAAGCAACTAAAAAATTTGGTATAAAATCTACATACAATAAAGAATCATCTTGATACACGAAAGAATATGAATGTATAAAATTTAATATCTAATCAAATTATAAAGTTAACTTTTTTAACTTTTTTATTTTAAACTGCATCGAAATGAAATTATAAAATTAGTTTTTCTTCTGAGTAAATTTACAAACATTTTTTCAATTACATACATTTATATTTTATATTTTCTCGAAAATTATTTGAATATTAGTAATATAAAACCGACATATTTCATATGCATTATTATGTCTGTAATATTATAATTATAATTTTTAATAGATTTTGAAATAATTATAATACTGGTTTTATTTTATACATAATCATTCATCACATGACATCTTTGTTGATATAATGTTATATTCAGGATCTAAAATTTAATCAGTGTTGTGGTCATCTCTCATAAGTTATCATATCAACGTTAGCAGATTTTATTCATCGATACGTCAATATAGAAAGACGTCAATGACGTTCGCGCACCTAAACTAGGTCGCGTAATCAACGATGCCAAATTCATGGGAGAAATTTGCCAGCAGTTCGCGAGTTTGCAGTGTGTGTGATACTCATGGGTTTTACCTCCCGTCACAATAACAATAAACCATTTTCCAAATAGTTTCGCACAATTGTTTCAAACATCGCAGGGATTAGAGAAACGTTTTTTGCAATAGAAGTCGATGCGATTCGATACATTTTCATAATATATTAAATTCATTAGTTATAATTCATTTTTAAATGTTCATCATCATTAATTATTACCTTTTGCCTCACTCCGCGAACGAAATGTTTGACATATAAAGGATATTAGAATAGTCTTATTTTCATTAG